AGTTTTTTTATGTTTTATGTCTGTAATGGGGAGGGGGGGGTGGGGTACAGGGGAGCCGCAAAAACCTAACAATTAAACTTACACTCACTATTTTCTTCGAAAATATATGTGAGCTCCACAAAAATGTTAAGTACGGCAATGCATTTCCTTCTCGTTGTAGCACATTACTATTGGCATTCGTCGGTATCATTTGATCTACAAGAAACTCACTCTATCAAGTCATATGAGTGAGTAGGCGATTGTCAGTATTTTCTATTTTCTCTGAATCTGACTAATAGAATATTCTTCGTTGAGAGTATTCAATAAAATATTATATGTTTTTAGTGATGTTTTCTCTGCAAAATCGGCAACCACGTATCTTTGTGTGTTTGTCATGTTAGCTAGTGACATAGAATTCTATGTTTCTTTGAACTTGAAAAATCGTATTTCTTCAAAGATTTTTGTTTTAAGATTTTCTAAAACTCATCAATCATTGAGAATATTTTTTCATCTAAAGTAATATATTGACCGCGAAATAGTTTTTTGATAGTCTAGTCGACATTGATCGAGTTGAATAAGAAAACATTCGCAGATTATTACGATTTTGCGCGTGATGTCTATTCTTAATTCTCTTTACTGCCTCAAGCATGCAAAGAAAAACTCAACTTAATGCTTTTAATAGGCATCATTATTTACCAGAAGAATGTACCCAGAGAAAAGTTCTGAACAGATCTGCAGAGATGAAAGTTCGTCAATAACAAAATTTTAGGTTTTATTAACATAGAAATTTGACGTTTTCTTAGACTTAGCAGAACGATAAATAAAGAGATTTCTGCAAAATCAGACATCTTCAAGTTCATGATGACATTCTTTGACTACGACATGAAAATCATATACATGATTCAAAAGTACGTCTTCTTCTATTTGTTCCAAGTAATTGATTTATAGACTTTCAATTAGATTATTCGATTTTAGTTTTAAGGGAATGGCTCATTTTGTAGGACATTATCTACTCTATCGTGTTATTTAATCTAACAAAACGATTATAGTTTGACTTTCTAGGTTTCCGCCAAAGTTATGACTTTACTTTTGAGGATATCCAGTCTTTGCAAGCAATTCTTTATAATTTTTCGTTAAAAATTATACTTATTGCAAATATTTATAGTTGGTTCGAAGAACTTTTCTTTTGTAGTTCATCGATGTATTACATTTGTAAAAAAAACATTCCAATCACAAATACTTAGAATTATTCCTATTCTCATATATCTTTCGCTAATCTTAATGAGTGCGTAGATAGCTTAATAATCTCTGTATTGTAATTAAAAACTTGTGCAACATATCATGAATTTATATTCTAGTGTATATTTTGTATTATCATCAACGTGCTCAAAGATATAAATAACTATTATTATTTTAGTTGTATATCAAAATGAACGCTGTAAATGCCTGTGAAGTCATTTCGTGGACCGAACAAGCAGCAAAAACGATCAAACCTGTCTTTCATATTTGTATAGTCGGAACGATCGTTCATATTCTGTTTTGGATTCAAATATTTGTATATCCAGCAGTTCCTCGATGGTCAGTACAATGGTTATGGGCTTATCTAACTACGGATTTACTTTTATTAGTTCGATTCTTTTTGCTCTACGTTTATCGATGGTGGCCAATATGTGTACCACATATTTTTCATACAATCATCTGCTATTGTGAAGCTATTTCTGACAATTATCTCAATCTTTTACAGAGCTATATTCTTTTGGCATTGAATATCTGTCGATACTTTCAGATTGTTCATAGTCACAATGTGTACTCTTCAAATCGTCATGCGATTATTATTGTTCATTTAGTTATCTATATTCTACCTTTATTCTGTCATATAATGGCAATTAAATTTGGTTGGACAGTTCTTCAAAATCCACCAGGTGATGCATGTGATTTATTGGGTATTTCATTTATGATTAGAATCGTATTTCTTCTCCTATCCTATTTCATACCAGTTATACTAACATTAGTCTTTGTTTTACTGAGCCTTAATTATGTTCGCAATACAGATGGTATTAAAACACAACAGCTCGTTGATGCAAGACACAAATATCATCGCCAAATAGTTTTCCAATCAACTGTATTTTATTCATTGTGGATTCTTTTATGGTCGCCACATATTCTTATATTTCCATTCTACTACAAGAGTAGTGCCATTGGTATTATTGCGCAAAAATTGAATTATATAAATATAATTCTTGATCCGATAGTGATAGCGGCTCTTGATGTACGATTTTTTCACCGATGGAGATTGACAGTAGATCATATACAGAGATACATAAGACGTCATCAATCGATGCAAATTCCGGTAATATTATCGACAAATTCTTCTGATCGAGCGACTGAAACCAATGAAGACAATAAATAAAACAAAGTCAACATTGCAGAATTCGAGTTCTATCCATGATGAATCGTTCAATAGAAGCAAAGTTTATTCAGGGCTTTTAAAGTTGTATTAGTGTCAAGGAACATTTTGCCGAATTAAAAAAAAACAATGAACTAATTTTACTTTCGAAAAACCAACTTATCTATTTAGGTTGCAAAATATCAATACATAGAACCGAAATACATGTACACATTTTACTATTCAGAATATTGTAAATATCAAAATCAGCATTTTATTTGATATTTTTTCTTGTAAATACGAAAATAAATAAATCAACTATTTTGTAAATAAAATTTGCTATCTGTAAAAATTGAATTCTTTGATCTTGTAACTTAGCTATAGTCATACTTCCGTTAAAGTATGAATAAAATTAAAAATTAAGTATTTATTATTCTCGAGATAAACTTCAAATCATTTCCATGATCACAGATTTTTCTAAAATATGATAGCTCTATTGGTTTTTTTTATCATCTACGATGCAGTTCATAAGAATATTTATTTTTTTACATTTTCAAAAGAAATGATTATTCCACTTGATTAAGATATATATATATATATGGAAAACACTATCTGACTATTTCATTATAGCAAAAGAGAAACAAAACTCGATATAGATACAAAAAGAATTCACTAGAAACAGAAAACATCCCTACAATGGGCACAGCAGCCCACATTGCATTAACATAAAAAAAAGAGATTCAATAAAACAGAACAGAAAAACAAAGGACTAAGAGAGATACAATTTGTTAATCGGTGATACATTCTATAATACTGTGTCGGAATCTGACATAATCGAATTAAGCAACTAAAACAAATGCAGACAATGAAATTCAATTAGATTCTATTTATTGATAAATTTACTTGATGGGTTTCCATCGAATTGAGCAAGTGCTACGCGCAATTCCTGTAATTCACTTCCAATAAAATCATAAACCAATGCACGAGATGTATTATTTTGTTGACGTTGTTTGGGTGGTAATGGTGGTTGATAATTATCATCGTGATCATTGGGTGGTAATTGATAAAGTTCTGACTCAATTGTTTCAAGTTTTTGTTGTTTTATTAATGCCAATTTTTTAATTGGTGTATGTTGTTTAGGCATAAGAATTGGTGCATCATCATCTGGTATTTGTGTATGTTTGAGTGAAGAAATCTTCTTTTGTTTAAGGTTAACATAATTGATATCTTGATTTGTTGATTTTTTCGGCTTTATTGGAGATAATGAACGATGTTTTTCTAATAATGGTTCATCATCGGTTAATTTCTTTTTCAATTGTGATGATATTTTCTTCTTCTCTGGTTCAATAGGATAATTATCATAGCCAGTTAGTGGCATTGTTTCTTCATCATCATTGTCACGATTACTAAAAATAATAAAACAAAAAATTCATCTCAGTGATTTATGATTGAGAAAATATTTTGTTGAAATACTTGATTAATGCAGATGTTCCATTCGATTCACCCTTTGGAGTCGCTCGATAGATATCTTTGATCTGAGCCTGAAAAAAGTCCGTCCAAAATAAAACTGAATTTCAAAAAGAAGTAATCTTACTTTTTTATTTGATTGTTCTTGACGATTCAATGAGTGATGTCCATTCGTCATGAGATGACTTGAACTATTCAATGATGAATTGACTTGTGTATCAGAGCTAGAAAAAAAATGATAATCATAGCTTTTTCCTTAGGAAGTTGAACTCTTGCGAACGAAAGTATGAGCAGATATGAATAAGAAATTAGTTAGATTCGACTTTTACCCATTTTGTTTTGTATCAACAATATTCAGTTTTACGTCGAATCACTCATTATGAAAGATTCTATACGAAGAAAAGTTGTAACAACTTAAAAAGACAAAGCCTATAAGATCTTAACGCTTGTATAGTTCTCAAAAATTCAATCTTGAGTCAAAAATAGTTCTTTGTATCTTCATTTGAAAAACTATGTCAATCTACAGTAAGTTACTTGTCCAATCCCATTTGTCATGAATATTGACTTTTAACCTTCGGAAAATAAATGACATATGTAACATCTAAAAAATCTTCCAAGAAATTGTCATGCATTGTTAGAAATTCTTTTTTTGTATAATAATAGACAGAAAATTTAATTAAAAAGTCAGGCTTTTCCAGGTACAAAAATTTTATAAAATAATTTAGAAAAAAGCAAATCGCTCTGTTATAAAGACGAAAAACATATTTTTCAAGTGAACTATGATAGAAACCATCAAAAACAAAATGGAATAATCATTGAAAATATCATATCATTGGCGATAGATCAAAATTCGAATTATCTCTCTGAACATTTTTCTAATGAACAAAACTGCATACTAATATTTAATAGTCATCACTAATCAATAAAATAAAAAATTGCTTACAATGATTTCGATCGTTCAATTGTAAGATAACGTTCTTTTCTTCGAAGTTCACGTTTTCCAACTTTAAGTTTAATAAACTCCAAAAATGCTTTTAAATCTTCAAATGGTGTCACCTATTGAAAATATGAGTCAATAAATTTTATTTCTCTATCATAGATTTTGTTTTTCACTCTCATACTTGTTTACAATATTCTTCAATCGGATGAGTTCCATCATGTTTTCTAGCATGATCACCCGTAAAGAAACAAGTTTGGCAAAGATCATAATTAAAACATCGAAGACATCGATATCTAAAATGACACCATTGATTTCTATTACTAAAATATTTCATCTTCGTTTTGTTACCGCATGCCAATAACAGGATAGGCTTTACAAGTGTCACATTGTGCTTCATGTCGAACTAAAACAAAAAACAAATTCTAGTCATAAAAACATCAATAGAGAAATTCCATCTACCTGTTTCGGTAGCAATTAAACGATGTAATGTCGGCAACCATACTAGTGTTTGTGGTTCTCGACTCATCCAATTAACAAATATATCTTCACGAATAATGCCATCATGAGTCTAATTATATCAGATAAAACAAAGCATATCTCGAAAAATTTCTTCTTACATGATCAAGACAACTTTGAACACAACCTGGAATATTATCCGCATGAAATGAATCAACATTATCAAAATGATTAGGAAGCTAAATAATATTAGAAATGAAAAATCGTTCGAAAAAAAATACAATTAAAAATTCGATTACCTTTAGTAGGATTTCAAATAATTCATTTAGTTTCCCTTGTGATGCGATTACATTTGGTGAAGTGATTTGTCGAAAAAAACCTTGAATAATTCAAATTACAAATTTTTCGAAAAAAATATCATTTATCTGTTTTTGTTTTTACTTACATCGATACTTTTCAGGCAATTTTGCATTTGATAATGCAAATAAAATTATTTTAAATGAATTAAGATCAAAATCTTCATTCAATTGTCTAAACAAAAATCGCCATTATGCCGTGAAAAAAAATAATAATATTCTTACATATGAAGAATTTCACAAAGAAATCTTAATAATGTATCGATTATTTCATCCATAGATGATTCATTGAAATGATACGATGATATAAGTTGATAGATAGCTGTTAAAACTTTTCGAGCATTTTCATTTGTTATTACTGATGCTTCAACGCCAAAATGTAATTGATGAGTATTAAATGCTCGTACAAGAATATTGTAATCAACATAAGTTACTAAATTACAGAACAATGTCAGAGAAAAAAATTTTTGATTTTTTTTTCTCGACAAAGGAACTTACATTTGAGATATTTTTGTAATACACGAAGTTTACATGCTACACGATAAGCAGCAAATTTAATAGCTGATAATGGTTCTGAAAGAAAAGAAAAACAAGAAGGAATTAGATTAATCTGATTTGTTGAAAAACAAAGTAACTGACCAAGTCGTCCGACAATTTTATCATATAGATTTTCACTAGGAATATAAAGAAAATGATTAAAAATCAATGATTAAAGCCACGATATTTACTATTTTTCGCCATTTGTTTCAACTGTTGTAGTTGTTTCTGCGATTTCTGTGCTGGTCATCGTTAGATTGATTGAATGACTGAACGTAATTTTTCGATCGATTATAAACACATTGTTTATTTATTTTTTACGAACTGTACAGTTTTTATTTTTTTTACAGAAGAAAATTCGGGAGTACTATATTTTTAAATTTTTTTTCTTTCACTGCTTTTTTACCAAAAAGAAATCACAATTGTAGCGTTCAATCAATACATTAGGCGACATCTTAAGGAAACCCGCCGTTGCTTAGTAACCAATTGAGATTAGTGATTTATATATCTCCCTTTGTTCTGTTCTGTTCTGTATCGATTAGTGTAATGTAATATAAGCGTTTTCTGCAATGAATGCGTTAGGCAACTTTTCCATATCAAATTTCATTTACTTCGACTTATCGACAGAATGCAGGAGTATGCGAGTGTTCTGTTAGATATAAAACTCTAATGATTCCTCTAATGTTCGTTCATGAAAATTTTCATCACTTGCAAAATCAATAAATGAAGTTTTTTTTCTATTTACTTCAAGTGTTGGAATTGCCAGGAAACTATTGAGCACTATCTCATACATACAGTAATACAAGTAAATAGAGAGATGAGCCAAAAAAGATGAAAATTTCTCTAAAAATATTCGCTCAACCTATCAATGCTACTGTAATGAAGTTTCAAAAAATATAAATAATTGTGTTTCATTTGTCTATGTCGAAAAACAATCTTGTAGTCGGTCCATTTGACTTGAGCAATGCCAAATGGCATCTTTGTTGGAGAACACTGCTTGCGATAATTCTACATGAATAGAAGTAGCATAAGAAATTTGAGGTGAATTTGTCGAAGCAAATGTGATTGACACGATTTCTACTCTCGGTTCAAGAAATTAAACAATTGAAGCGTTAATTTAAAAAGAATTCCTATCACCCAAATGCACCATTCAAACACGAAGTGTTAAGAGTATTACATAAACAAACATGAGAATATCTGAAATGCATGAATACAGCCGCTAAAACAATTAGAAAACAAAGAATTTCATTATAATCAGATGCCACATAATTTGTTTCATGTTTAAAAGCAAATCATTTGTTAGTGAATCTATTCTATCTAAATACGTCTTTTCAAAATTTAAAGAATACTGTCTGGCATATGGACTCAGCAAATATTGACATAAAGGACAATAATGTGCGTTAAAAAACCAAGTATCAATGAAACCTAGAGTTTCTGTTTAGAATAACATACACGGATCGCCTCGATAGTGTGAAATTTGATACCATCTGTATACAATGATTGATTGGTTGGTTATTTTTTTGGTTGTAACGTTACTCATTTAGAATGTCTATCGAAGGCAATTGTTTAAAGTCAGTATTTGCTGTAGCTTTATCTTGAAAATTACGTATCAAAAGCACTTTGTTTTTTATCATATGTAAAACTCGATTAAAATTACGAGCTTTTGATAGATTGCCTTCAATAGTTTATTTGCTCATGCATTTAATTAGGGTAATAAAGAAATATGCCTTCGGTAGACTTTGTATCAGTTCGATCTGACTGGTTACTAGTACTAAATTATAAAAAAAGAAGATATTCCATATTCTTGTACCAATAATCTTAAAACTTTATATTCAATCGACCGAGCATTGAGTTTCTTTGCTTCTATCAAAAAAGAAAAGGGAAAAAAGAAATTTGTACTGACTGATTCCAATGTATATTCGAAATGAAAGAGAATATTCAAGTGTTCTCAAGTCATTATGATGCTAATTTTTTTTACACTGTCAAATATAATCTATTGAAATTTTCAAATTTGTTGCCGCTGTAATTTTTGTTTCACTTGGACTAATCCATGGACCACACATAATTAAGCTGACGCTGTTTTTTCTACGGATACGTCATTTTTTTGTGAACCTCATCAAATCAAATTGAAGTTAATGCATCATGCACATATTTCACTGCCACTTATTGATGATATAACAGTCTCTTGATTTTTCATGTTATTGTTCTTCACACAGAATTCATTCAAACAAATAATTGTGCTTATAAACCATCTCAATCATAGTGATTGAAACAACAAAATAGGGACGGCTACTGATAAAGTTCATACTACATATATTAAAACACAAGTTAACATTCTCATAAATATGAAATTATAAAGATAAAAGAATCAAACAACTCCATACGTCAATACGGCTAATGGTACTTGAATTGGCAAGCGACTATGCATATGCAAAACATCAAGAACGTGCCTTTGTTACTGAACAATTATCATATTTTTTTTTTATGTAAATTCTTTCTGAATGAATGTATACATGAGCAAGACAAGGCGACGACGCTCATGTCAGTTAGATGTATTTTCATCTTTATGTTGATTGAAAGACGAGTAGTAGTATTTCGTATAATCATTAAGCATCGACTATTTACTCGGCTTTTGTCTTCGTCATCACCACCAACACCATTTGTACACAAAGTTTGCTTGTTTGCTTGCTCTTTGGTTTATTGTCTTCTGCGTTCAATATGTCTCATTCATTCTCGCTCTCTCGTCTCTTATTGCTTCATGTTTGTGTAGGCCAAATATGTCTCTTGTCTCTCCTCTCTCTCTCTCTCTCTCGTTCTCTTGCATTCAGTCAATTTTTTAGTCCTCTGATTTCTTTTTCCTTCGCATAAAAGTTTTGTTGAAAAAGAATATATCTATATACTTTAAAGCTTACGATATTTTAATTTGTTCTTGTGTTAATATCTTCAATTGCTAAGATGCATGCAACTGCCACGGATAGTATTGGCAATTTACTTTACTTCAAGGTATGTCTTCTTTAAGCTTATGCTCTCTTGAAATAGGATCCACGAGAAGCATCGTACAGAATGAAAAAAGCAAGATGTAAAGTCGTAGTGTAGTGAAAGAAAATGAAAAAAAAAGTAGTCATCTTTCTTTTTTTCCTCTCCCCCTCTCTCTCTCTTTCATAGCTTTCTGCTGACTTTTTTCTAAGGATAATAAAATCGACTTAGTTCCAACTTCACTCTGTTGTATGCTGCCGTCATTTCTTTTTCTTTCTCATTGTATGTGTCATTACGATTAAATGATAACATGGGTCAATAGTAGTTACAACTAGGTATCGAACACTAGGAGAAAAAAGTGCCAGCAAGTGAATCAAGTTATTACTGCTGTTGAAATCGATCGTAAGTAAAGAGAAAGAAATTCGTATTCACAATGAGATGCCCGATACGGTTTATCTACATTAGTAAATATATTTCTATGCGTGTGTGTGTGTGTGATGCTTGACGAGCAGATCGATTATGCAAATCAGATATTGACTAGGGTATATATTTACTAACGAGAAACTGTTGTCTTCCATTGTCTTGTATCTCACATTTTTATTCCAACCTAATCTTATCTATTGGCTACCGATATTTAGAACATATTGTATTGATTTGACTTGTCACATATAGATATTAGTGAGATTTATATTCTCGAGTAAACACATGAAGATCGATGTACATAACTCGTTTTATTGCAAATGTGTTTTTCTTGTTTTTTGAGACAGTTAACGAATCTTTAGTTAACAGTAATACCAATGGATCATCGTCAAGAACGGAACCCCATTGCTAGACATACATATCTATATATAATTTTACATCATAATTATTTCCTCTTTTTATTTCATTCGTAATCCTTCGCATCATTATCATAAAAAGTTTTTCCGTTTGCTATTGAGTTGGCGTGTACAAAATAGCTCATGGCCTTTCCACGTTCTTTTTTATTGCTATTTCAATGAAACAAAGCAACAACCAGGATGAGAACATTACTTTTCTTTTTTTCTTATTTTTTTAAAATATTTTTTCTTCTTCGTTTGTTTCCTCCTTTTTCCTGAATGATCACAGTTCTTTACCTCAATTTTTTTGTAACAAAAAGCATGAAAAGCAACAATAGTTAAAAACAAGAAAAAAAAACACTTGTGTTTAGCGGTGAGTGCTTAATGGATGTTATGATTATCATAGAACTATGTGAACCATTCATTGATCTCCCTAGTGTGTAGATGTTTGTGTCAATAAGAAAAAATTTTCAAATCGAAAGAATAAGAAATGACGCTTGATTTCCGGCGTATGCTGAGTAGTGTTCATCGAGTGCATGAGATCGATTATAAACTTTTCATCACGAATAACACAAACGATCTTTTACCTGAGTGAATAAGCGGATCACATTTATCATGTTCACAGACTAAAGCAAATCGCATTCAGATGAGATCATTCTTTTGATTTCATTGTTAAGCTTTTTCGTCAATGGTAACAAAAATTTGGTTTTTTTGAAATTATATTTGCATCATCAATAATTTTTTGATTATTTAACTTTGATGAAAGAATAATAAGTTTTATAGACACACTTAAAAATATTCGTGTTTTACTATTTTTATTACTATCGACATGCTCTTTCACAATCAAAGAATTCTTCTATTGTTCGGTTAATTTTGTTTGAAAATGAAGTAGAAAAGGATAAAAAAAAATATGTCAAAGAGTATTTTTTTTACACAATCATAAAATGGAAGAGAGCATGATTTGTATTTATAAATCTGAAATGGTAGAGAATGAGAGAGAGAATTAGAATGACAGGTGTGTGCGCTCTTTCGTCTTTTTCTTCTTGCACCAATAATATCAGATGAATGTGTGTGTGCGTAACAACGAGAGTACGTGTGCAACATAAAAAGAAAAATACTTTTGACATCGACAAGTAAAGTATTTTCTTCTCGTTGGGCAAGTTAATTTATACTTTATCATGTCACAATCATCGACTCTTGTACGTACAGCTAAACATGCTCTCGATGGCACATTGATTTATCCTCATCATGGACAAAATATAATAGACTATCAATCTCCTCTTGACTCTTTAACTAAGCGTTTAGCCTATAGAATTCAACGTCCCGATGAACATCAAGTTTCAACGGCAAGTCATCAGAATAAGAATTTATTGTTTGTATTTCATTTGCAATTGATGCCATTGAAGAAGAAAAAGAGAATAAATTCATTTGACAGTTTTCATATTCACCATTCAACCCTATTCTCGCTGTCTGTCTGTCTGTCTGCCTTGTATTTGCTTTGCCCGATTAGAACAGAAACTAAAAATGTGAGAACAAGAATAGGTTTAGAACGAGCGAATGAGCAACACCCCTTTAATCTGATAATCATTTTCTTTTTCGTGCAGATTAAATCCTTATCGGAGACTAACGCTGACAAACAAGTTAGTGTATTTTTAATAATAATACTAATCAAATAAATATTGAATAAATAAAACAAAAGGGCAGAAAATGCGAGGTCAAGAGAGAAAAAAAGATTTTAATAACATTTTTTGATCATTGAAGTATATGTGTGCATATGCATATATACATAAATAGAAAAAATAATTGAGAAGAAGTCAATAAATATCTACATGATTTCTTATGTATGTTTTTTTTTTTATATTTTTTTAGCGATCCATGAAGGTATATCTGATAAACGGTTTTGGTGAAAAGAAGACGAAAATTAACTTTTTTTTATTGTATCCTCTTAGCGTTTACTTTCAAGTGATCTTTCATCATCACCACCGACAAAAGTTCTTGCCGTGACAACAAATGAAGAAGAAATGAGCAATAATCTTGCACATACAAATAATCTTACAAATGGCCATCAAAATGGTGATAGTAATGAAGCCAAAAAAGTAAGTTTGATGTTGATTATTAATATTTATGAATTCTAATATAGTAACAAAAAATAGAAATCGATGAATTTCAAGGTTTTGTGTTTCTCTCTATTATTGAATTGTCATTGAATTTCATAATTTAATGAAACACTCTAATTCAATAATTCTCATCTAAAATACGTTTTAAACTTCAACATTAACGTTCTCTATTACACAAAATTACGTAACATACAATCAACTATTTTCTAACTAAATTTTGAGAACATTTTATCTCAATGTTATAATGACAGGAACAAAATTCTATGATCATTTCTACTTGCTCTTAATGAATATTCTTACTGAAACTATTTTTTTTCATATTGTCAGAATCTTATATTATTTGTAATATTTGTTCTTTTTTCTTATTGCCTTATAGGCTCGACTGGAGAAAAGTCCACCGTCACGTGTTGGTAAGTTCTTGTATAACAATCTATTTCAAAAAAACGGAATACATACATGAAATCTATTCTATCTATTAGTGCATTTGAGAAATATTGATGCTAGTGAATTAGAAATAGTTCAATTTGGTCTTTCGTTTGGTAAAATAACGAATGTACTTAATTTAAGAAAAAAAAATCAAGTTCGTATTATGATTGATTGTTGTTGATGTTTTGCAGTTAGTCATATAAAATAATTTTTGAACTTTAGGCTTTTCTCCAATTTGAGAGTATTGAAAATGCACAAGCAATGACCGATTATTTTTCTTCAATACCGATATTATTGAATGGCCGACAAATATTTGTACAGTTTTCAAATCATCAAGAATTAAAAACAGATCCAAATAATGCAAACAATCAACAAGCACAAGCTGCACTTTATTCAGCAACTATTTTACAAGAAATTGCACGAACAGGTGGACAAAATTGTGTATTGCGCGTTGTTGTTAATAATATGATTTATCCAATTAGTGCTGATACATTTTATCAAGTAGGAAAATTTTCTTTTTAGAAATAGAATAAAGAAAGCAACTTACTTTTTCTGAACTTTTAGATTTTTAGCAAATTTGGTCTTGTTTTAAAAATTATTACTTTTACTAAAAATGGTATGAAAAAGCAATATTGATAAATAATCATTCGTCTCTGTTTTTATTTAGATAAATTTCAAGGACTAATACAATTGAAAGATGCAAATATAGCACAATCAGCAAAACTGGTAAGAAAAACAAAATCTATTTTCTTTCAAGAAAAAAATTCTGACACTTCTATTTAATCGTTAAAGAATTTAAATGGTCAAAATATTTACAATGGTTGTTGTACATTGCAAATTGACTTTTCAAAATTACATTCATTAAATGTCAAATTTAATAACGACAAAAGTCGAGATTATACTAATCCAATATTACCACCAAACGAGAATTCTAATGAGCCTATTCCTGTTGGTGCAAGATATTTGACAGGTATATGAATGAAGAAAAAGAAAACGATCAGTTTAGAGCATGAGACATATTTGATCGTAATTTTAAAAGATACAATTTTCTAACAAGGGATCTACACCTTTTCAATTTCGACTAATTATCAATTTCAAATTTTTTTACTAGTTGACTGAACAGGAATCAAAAATGTCAAATAATTCCTACTTTTTCAATATGAAATATAGAGAACATTATAAAAGCTCATTTATTATGTTTTAAGGTATGCCTAATGTATACGGTTCGTCAATAATGGCACTGGCTGGCGCGCCATTAACAACACTTTCAACGATGAGTAATGGCACTATTCATTTTTCAGGTAAATTTTTTCTTTCTTCTTTTTGATAACTAATAAATCAAAGAGAAAACCACAATTCAGCTCCGACAGCAGCCATGTTAAATGCAAACCCATTAGCTCAACAATATGCGACAGCATTAGCATGCCCAATGACAAGTTCAACAAATGCTGGAACAACATTATTAACAACAGCCAATACAACACAAACGCCAATATCATTATCAACATTACAACAACATCATTCACATGGAACAACAACAAGTCCATATATTTTTCTATCAACGTCAGCAACAGCATCTGATGAGATATGTGGAAATATTGGCAATGGTACGGATATTACAAGTGGACTAATGACTGGTAAAACTACAAATTTATCTTGTCCTTCAACTCTTTACTTTTATAACAATAACAGTACTCCTACTATGTATCCTACTGATTTTCTATGTTTGTGATATAGAAATCTATATTTATCATTCCATTCTTTCTTATACATGTTCTTTTATTTTATGGTGCTCATTGGAACACTATGAATTCTTTGTGCTTGCTTAAAATCCTAAGGTACTCCGTCCGATTTCTTTTCGTTTTCTTTTTCCCTGTGAACTTTCTGTCTTTTGGTCTTATATGAAGTTCAATTAAGCTGGAAATAATGATCTTTTGAGTATATACAGTATGTTATGCTTGTTTTTTTGTAATACTCTTTATGTGCGAGCTTTTTCTTGTTTTATGTGAATACTATATTGTTTCTTTCTCATGCAAATAAAACTTGTGTCTTTGTTTCAGTTAGTGCTGATCAATTGAATTAAATGAATATTTCCAGGTAAACTTTAATATCTTCTCACATATTCTTTCTCCTTTTATTCTGACACATTTACATACATCTGCTCTTATCGGTTTTCGTCAAACCCTTCTCTTGATCATAATTCTCTAGATATATATGAACTACGAAAGTTATTATCTTGCGTTTATTTTTTCTTATTGCCGGGAATTCGATTCATGCCATTTTCTTTTCCTTCACCAATTTTATAGAGTCATTTGTGCCAAATTTTTGTTCTTCTGCTAGTTCACAAGTCATAAATGTAACTATACTATTGATTCTCATTCTCACTATACTTTTCTTAGTTCATACTATTACTCTCCTTTTGTCTACCATGAAGTATGCACTTTAGTGTCAATCGATGGCCGTAGATTATTTATTGACCTACACTAAACACTGAATTTTCTTGAAGATTTTAGTTTCAAGAAAAAAGCAACGAAGTATCAATATGCTTCTAATTTTCGCTTTTCTTCTCTCGATCCTTCTTGCATATCTGCCAACGAAATAAAATGTAAAGCCATTAAATAGTATTTGAGATAAGCCCAATTCTTTTTAAATGTTTTAAATAAAGAATGCAAGAACTATTTATTTAACTATGCGATTGCATTACTGCACCATAGTTATATTTATCGGAAATAACTTCCCGTTTAAAATCTCGATATCATGGATCGCCAAGCAAATTAATCTATATTCATCAACATCATGTCTTATGGATCGACGCATAAATGTTTTCTAATATAAATAAAGTGGTACAAGGAGTTTTTACAAGCGGGGGAAAAGCGGATCTCCAATCCAAAAGCAAAATCACGGAGTACGAAATCTACCTTTTCTTTCTTATATTTTTGACATTGCTTCGCTAAAACAATTTTTTATTAGTTCTTTTTAAAATGAAATAAAGCAGCGCACGTAAAGTCGTATTGATGGATAGGACTGTAAAATTTCGGTTCATCAAAGTCTACTAATGTAAAGCCATATTTATGAAACGTTTGAAAATAAACGGATAATGGTCGATGATACAAGTTCAAAGAAAAATCTGCCCAATCTTGTCTATCAGGCGTCTCATCAAAATAAGATTTTTTCCATGTGTACATACGCTTAGCACCATCTTTTTCTGGCACAAAATCAAAGCACGGATGAAGAATAACAAAAATTACACGACCCGATGTTTTCAGAACACGTTGGAATGTCTAAATTTCTGATAGATAAAATATGCAAACAAACTTAAAGATCTTGATGATCTTTAAAAATAGTTACTTTTCCTATAGAATCAAGATCAGGTGTATCCATGAGAACATAGTTGGAAACAATTAAGTCAATTGAATTACTTTCAACAGATTTTAATTCAGTAACTGAATCATGATATATTCGAATTCGTTGATGATCTTCATCTTGTTTTAGTCGTCGATCAATATTTTCTCTTGCTATCCTAATCATATCTGATGATAAATCGACTCCAATTATTCGTTTCATACGAGTTTCAAGAACAAACTTTATTGTTAAATATCCATTTCCACAGCCAGCATCAAGAATAACTTTATCATCAACATTTCCAATATATTTCCAAAGATAAATATCACTTGATTCTTTTCGATTTGAATCTCCATCATCACCAATCCATTGATTCCAAACTTCAGCGTGCTTATTCCATTGATGTTCTACTGTTTCTAATTCACTTGCCATTTAAAAAACAAAAAAATTCTGTATTACAAAAAAATGAATATAATAATGTATTTTCATGCGTATATAATATAGACGATAAAGTGAAATAATAAGATAAATAAATGGAAACGAATAAAATTTGACAAGATAGATGTCACTTTTCATTCACCGATGGAAGTCTTGCATATAACGGTTCTTCTTCATCTTTTGTTAGGAGATTTTCATGTGGCATTGTATGATTTATTGACTGCGGTAGAAGTTGAATAGTATCGTCATGTGAATTAGGATTACTAAATACATGTACTATATCCGCATCAATTGTTGCCGACGGTGGATGTGATCTCAATCGATTGTAAATGACAACGTGTCTATTCGATATCTCACGTGATACTGGAATGATGGATGGGTTCGACAGATCTTTGTTACCAATACACATTGAGTACGATCCACAAGTTTGTCGAATATAACGAACAAGGAGACAGATGCCTATGATGGAAACGACAAATATTGCTAATAAGCAAGTAACAATAATCGTAAATGATCGATATTTAACTTGTTGAGTTTTCCTCATTGCTAATAGACTAATATTAATTTGACATTCGATAGTAGTCTCATTATTGAGAAGATCTTCATCGGCGATTAAATTCGTACAATTATTACAAATTGGTGTCAGTGTTTCATTTAATACGATCAATTGATTAGTAGAATTCAATACAATTGTTGAAGTAATTTCTATTGTTGATGATTCAATTTGAACATCTATTTCTGATGAATTATTTTTAATTTGACTGGCATGAATTTGAGTTTCATTGATCGGTATTATTACTGAAATATTATTTTTTATCGGTTCACATTGACAAACAGGATGGCCACCATCCGTACATCGATGTAAAATAGTAAATGCACCCGATGAACGAATAAAATAACGTAAAACACAATCATTTTGATCAGTGCTATCTCCAAGTAATAATCGTAACCAATGCTTTTGATTTGTTTCATTTTCTGATTCAGCTATTAATCGTTTTTCTAATTGATAATAGAAAGATTCAAGTAGCACATCATCAAATTTTCGACCAAGAAATCGCGTCGTATTAATATTTCCCCATTCATGAGAAGCAAATTTAACAAGTGTACTATTCACATGTTTACTCGTACAAAGACGTTCGCCGTCCAAAACATTGAAAACAAATGCCGTATGAACATAATAACACATGTTATTGAATAGGACAAATTTTGATGGGCAAGAACTGTTCTGAATAATTGATGATCGTTTTTCAGTATTTCTAAATATACAAACTTTCTTTTTCTAGATAAAACAAACACATCTTTCTGTCAGATATCCGTATTAAAGAAAAAGAAAGATAATTATTCTATTCTCTATGCTATCGATTTTAAACAGTACTAACGAAAAAATATTTTCATTAGATTTGAAATTGATTAAATTCGTTGAAATCTCCTTACATCATTTTAAATTCTGCTTGATCGACAATAACTGGTGTCATAGGTTTTTGTGCACAGAGTACAGATCCTAAAGTATTTGCTGTTGAACATAAAACAAGATCAAATGATAATGATCGATTGAAATGCAATTGATTAATAACAAGACAAAGTTCATCGGATGCTAATAAGTTATTTTTCGATTTAAATAGATCATCGAATATATACGTTGAATTACGATCAATTCTAATAAATGTACGTGTACGAAATGGAAATGATTTTGATTTTAAGTAATTCCACTGTTCATAGGTTTTGATTAATATTGGTAAACAATTTTCATGTGTATTCACTTTTGCATAAGTATTTTGCGTGTTGAGTGAGATTAATTTTAAGCATATATATAGAATCCTATCAAAAATAAATGTTGATGAACAATAGAGTTGTACATTAATTTTAACGACTGTATCTGAATTAATTTCAGAAGTATTCAAGGAATTTTCAAATCCATTTTTTATATACGAGAGAAACGAACAATGAATAAGAGGCTTTCGAACAGCTTTAGCTGTGTTGGTTGACGATATTTGAATTGGTAAACAATAACAAGATTTTCTTAATGAAAGAAAAAATGAAAAATAATTTGTTTGACGTGTTATTTGACAATGTTTTCGGCAGTCATCCAAACTTCGACTATAGTTATTAATATTATTTAATAAGAGATTAGCCTGATATGTTTGTATACCATGCAAATAATAACAACCATCAAGTGACCAATCATACGTTGATGATAGTGTTGGTAGTAATACATCAAAATCTTTTGTTAATGAATGTATTTGTAAGCTATCCGAAGAACAACTATTTACTGATACAATTTGGCCAAGAAATTCATTGACTTGATAGAGTTTAGTCATTGTATATAAACAAATACAATTTGTATGATTTTTATCCATGAATATTATCCATTGTCGACATAGACGAAAACACAATTCAATAGACATATTTGAGCTTGAAAATGTTTGATAGGGTAATAACGAATTTTCTTGAGTATAATTGGCAATAAATTGATTATCGGTGTTTAATATTAGACATGCTATGTGAAAATGTTTCGATATCGATAAATCTGCTTGATTACTTATTGAAATGCCGAAATCAATTAAACATATATAAAACAAGACTCGGATGAGCATGTTCGACGTGTGCTTTCAAACCGAAAAACGAGTAAACAATTTCATAAGCAACAAAATACTTGTCTGTTGTTCTAACTGAAAGACAACGAAAAAACAGTTGCTCAATGATATATCGAATTTCACGCGTACAAATCTTATTTGATTTCATTTGCTAATTGTAGAACGGAGAAAAACTAAGTTAAGATTGTATCAGTTTAGGTCTAGTATGACAATTACAAATAGTGTCTATTGCCAAACAATCATAGCGTGAGGGAAAAAAAGTAATTGATTTCCATCTCAAGGATAATACTGAGATCATATGGTACATGTTCTTTTAACAAGCTGCCCTATAAAAGTAATAATACATACCCATCCGTTAATCAAATATAAGAGCTATTGAATTTCAAGAATACTTTTGTTTGTTTACGTAATGCAACATCGATCGACCATATTGCTTGTTTTAACCGCTTTGTTTTATTAGTATGTGATATTTAGTTTATACGAGGACTTCTATTTTTAGAAATAAACATCGTTACATCTCAATCAATTTTGACATTAATATTATTACTTGGTAAAATATATGTATAATTATTTAAATAAAAATTCCCGACATCCTTGTTGTCATCGAGTAGGAAATGACTCGAAATGAGAAAAATTAGGTAATAAAATATTCGATGTAGATTTCACGATGTAGTTTAGCAACGAGTTGACTCGACAGATTATCTTGTTTTTTCTTTCGACTTTCATAGAAAAAAAAATATGAATTGTATGACATATTCTTAAGTTTGTTTGTTAGATAATTGATATACCAAATTGTTCACTATTTTGAAAGACTTCCATTTGTTTACAATGAAAATCAATATAGCTAAGTGTAGAATGCCCAATAAAGTGTTATGATAAATATAATGTCTTAATTCAACGAAAAATTTTGATCAGTAGATGAACCAAATAGAATTTTAAAAGAATATAAATATTGCTGTTACGCAGCAATCACAATCACATTTTTGTTGAAGAAAATTTCAATTCATCTCCTCCGATACGTCATCCAAATTTTTAGCTTTAAAAAAGTAAATCTCGAACTCAGATAATTCATTAGATCACATCATGAAACTCATGAATAATTTATTATATTATGAAAAATGTAAACAAAAGCCAAGAGTTTTTCATGCTGATAGTCTGTTTCTTTCGGTCAATTCTTAAATTTTCTCTTGTCGATCTATAAAAATTCGCATAGAATAAATTTATCAACATATTTCAGTCTAGATGTTTTAATTTCTAATCGAATAACGCTCTAGCATAGGATGAACAAATTTAGAATCAAATTATGTACGGTCAACCGAGCCTGTAGTTGACTTCTTTAAAGAATGATTCGAATTCGGAAACAAATAGAGACACTTTCTTCTTTCCATCTCTCTCTCTCTCTCTCTCTCTCTATATATATATATATATATATATATATATATATATATATATAGTAAGTGTTCCCAACATAATTGGCTCACAGTCTGATATACAATGCTCAAATCAATGTATTTTGTTAATGATTAAGAAAATTTCTTATTATTGTTTCCCATGAATTTATTTCTGATTACATGCCCACTAATTTTTCTCTTCAACATGCTATTAGTTGTAACTGACGATATAACTATCACTCTGTCATGTACGCATCTGTTTATTGTATGTTAGTATTGAGAAATTGTTTTCATGAATAATCATTTGAAATCGAATGATCTGACAATAAATAACAATGTATGTATTACATTACAGTGAATCTGTATATATAGCTGAGTTTATTTTTCAATAACTGTCGAGTGCAAGTCAAGTTAATAAAAAGAAGAAGAAGAAGAACAAGACGTTTATTTTGATTTTTCTTCTTCTGAGACACTCATTGTCTAGCATGTCATTCCTACTATTTGCATGATTAATGCAGACGACAAACTACATGCACGGACGACACTGATTCTTCTTCCTGTGTGCAATTGTCATCATGCTTTCTCTTCCTGTCGAGTAATTCTCTTTTTCTTTGTTATCAATACTAGATCACAGTCTGAATGTTGTTCGGATCGCTTTTTTTTTGATAGAAAAGACATGTCTTCTCATTGATCTGACTTATGTAACAAATAGAAACAGTAGTAAATAACTGCAAAGAAGAAGAAAAAAAACATTATTAGCTTTTCATTTTTCTAGTTGATAGAAAACGAGCAGCAAAATCATCACTAAATACAATTAGCACGATCGATTTCTTCGGTGAAATGCAGCCGTATTGTTTATATTTGTCTATTGTATTTATGTATATATTTTCATCAGGTAATTAAATAAAGAGCAGCTGCTTTCAGTTTTCAAAATTCATTTTCTAATTTAGTTTCCGGAGATCCGACTGGTCAGCTTTATAAATATTTAATGGCAAACTATAATAAACATGTTCGTCCAGTAAAAAATAATTCTGATATTGTCAGCGTTCAAATTGGTCTTAAACTTATTCAAATTGCTGATGTAGTACGTATCAACGATCGATCATGATGCTTCTCTTGAAAGTCGGAAAATTAATTTGACAAATAAACGAACTCGCTTTTTATTTCTTGTTCATATATGTCAAATTTGAAACTTGAATTCAATTGAAAACTGAAATTTTCAATTTTCAAATTTTAAGCCAATAGCATTTTGTGAGAATCGTGACTCACACATATATCGCTATGAGTTGAAAGTTGAAAGTTTCAATTTTCAACTGAATTCAAGTTTCAAGTTTGGCACTACTGTTTTTGTTTGTACTCGATTGTCAAAAAACACAAAATGATCAATCGAATTATTTTCACTATTTACTAACGTTAAATTTTACATCTTCTAAGTAGAAATGAAACACTAAGAAGAATTATCATTTTTGACTATAGCAAAAGTACTCACGAGTTATATTGCTGTTTATGCACATGGAATCATTGTCAAACTGAAACTATTGTTATTTTTGTTTCACTATTTTAATACTACGCGCCGAACGTTTTATGTCTATTTGCGATTGTTTTATACATAGCGAGACAGTTTTTTTAACTTGAAAGTTGCGTGGAAGTTTACATTCAGTGCATAAGGTAGATTTCAATAAAAAATTGAAAACTTTCGGGTAGATGAGCGTAACGTCGTATTTTTTGAGAGCATTCTGCATATTTTACTGAAATTTTAGATTAAAAAATAATATGTAGAAGAGCAGCAATGAAGTTGTAATGATCAAAATCTGAATTTTTCAGTTCGAAAGAACGTTGTCTTTATGAGATATGGAAAGTTTTGAGAATTCTGAAGGTGAAGAGTGATCATCTTTTTCGAGTTAGCCTATTACAATATGCCTTATCCGTTCTGATAGAATGAATATTTCTTTACAGGATGAAAAGAATCAAATAATGCAAACTCATGTCTACGTACTTCATGTAAATATGCCGAAAAAATATTTCGAAGAAAACAATTTATATATATATATATATATACATTTAGAATTGGCATGATCATAGTTTCGTATGGTCACCAGAAGATTTCGGTGGAGTAGAATATATCTATATGCCAAATGATTTGATATGGAAACCAGACCTTGTATTATATAATAGTAAGGATAGCATTTTATTTTTGACGATGAATTATTTATCATTGGCATCTATTGATTCAAGATGCAGACGGAAACTATCAAATAACATCAACGTCAAAAGCACAAATTCGATTTGATGGAACTGTTCAATGGGTTAGTAGAATTTCTAAATCATATCTAACGATACGATATTGACTTTAATAGAATCCACCAATGATCTATAAATCATATTGTTCGATTGATATTCAATATTATCCATTTGATATTCAAAATTGTACACTTAAGTTTGGTACATGGACATATTATGGCTCACTGGTGAATTTACAATTTTTAACAAAACATCAATCAGCCATTTTTGAACGTGGTTGGGATCTTGAAGATTATACACCTTCTATTGAATGGGAAATTTTAAGTAAAGAAAATCGTTGAGTCTTTGTCTTAGTCTTAAAAACAGCTTTTTATTTTAGATCTTCGAGCTATAAGACATGAAAAAGTATATTCATGTTGTGTTGACGTCTATCTTGATTTAACGTTCACGTGTACAATCAAACGAAAACCTTTATTCTATATCGTTAATTTAATTGTTCCATGTGTAAATATTTCTGTTTTAGCTGTATTAGTTTTTCTTTTACCATCCGATAGTCGGAAAAAAATTACACTATCCATATCAATTCTTGTAGCACTGTTGGTATTTTATTTATTACTTATTGAACTTATTCCTCCAATATCGTTAGTTATACCATTACTCGGAAAATATCTTCTTTTTACACTTGTTCTGGTGCATTTATCGATTATTATTACAATTATTACACTTAATACGCATTTTCGTCGTCATCCAACAACACACATGAGTTCGTGGTTGAGAAAATTATTTTTGGTTTACTTACCGAAACTTCTATTTATGAAAAGACCAAATATATCATCGAAATATGTATACAAAAGAGAAATATTGGATTCTACTCATGATAGTCAACCGTCAAGATGTCAATTGAAAGATGAACGACGAAGACATATTCTTAGAGTTGCAGCAAATCATATTTCTTATATTGCAAAACAAATTGAAAACGCACAAATTGAAAAAGAAGTATGAATCTTAGTATCACTACTTAACATCTTAACGAAAATTAGATGATAGCATTGTCATATTCAGGATCTTCTGAATGCGATTGAATCCTATCGATTTTCATAAGAATTCGGTTAGCTATCTGTTTTCAAAATACAATCCGATAGAGCGAGTTGTAACCCGACTTTAGAATAAACTCAACACATCCTATTGTGGATTACGAGACTTTATCTTCAATCTAAATTTAAGATAAAGTAGGTAGCAATTTCATCGATTTAGTTTACTAATTATACTTGAATAATATTTTTATTTTTTATTTTAGATCGTTGAAGAATGGCGTTTCATTGCTTTAATACTTGATCGTTTCTTTCTGATCCTCTTCGTATCCGTTAGTCTGATCGGTACACTTGGATCATTATTGAAAGCTCCATCGCTATACAATTCAACTCCACCCGTAAATCCAAGTTGTTATTTATATTATCCGCCTATAGATAATTCTGAATGGTTAAAAAAATGTGGTGCCGATTATTCATCAGAAACTTCAAATAAACAATTTCAAATAAGCAATTAATTCTATTAGCAATATTTCATTATAAGAATTTTTTAATAAAGAAAGACATTTGAGTTTTAAATGAACACACGCACGCAAGCACAACCAAAAACACACATACACAACATTAAATTTCACCGTTATAAACGAAAAAAGAACCGGTTGATTAAAAATTACTGTTCGATGGAATGTACTAAAATTCTGTTTGTTGATTTTCAATTGTTCCATCATAATTTTGTTGATAATTCTTTAACAAAATAAAAAATAAAAAAATAAATAGTTCAATCTATTATCAAATTAGAAAACTTACAGTATCTTGTTGATTAAGATAAACTCTTGAAAAAAATGCTGGAAATTCAACATTCTTGGGTACTTCATTTCTAATATGATCTTGTATTATTGCATTTAATTTTCTCAACGATGGTAATAGTAACATTAATGTATAGAAGTCTCGACTTTTACTTCCTCGTTTATTATCCATATAATCACATAATGCACATGTTAATTCTGTTTGTGTTGAATCAATCAATAAAAAATCATTGAGATGAACATTACTTGTAGATATGATCAGTAATGATAATAATAATGAAAATTCTTTTTCGTCTAATTTTAATGAATAAATATACGATTGGATTTTTTCTCCATCAGAACGTATATGTTCAATAAACGGAAAGATTTGTTGAAATTCTTCATTCATTTTTTGATCAATGACATTAAAATAATTCCAAATTGAAGGATTATTTAAATGCTGCAAACATAATATAATAATACTATGAATAGAAGATTTTATTAATTGAATTTGATCGTTAACATTATGAAAATTCATAAAACCAGGTATACGTGTAGCAAATTTTACACAGCGATTAGCATAGTTTTTAAATTGATTCATTGATGATAGCCAAGAATTACCACTATCTTGACATATTGGTAAATTCTATCAAAAACAACAAAAAAATAAAATGAGTTTTTCTTTGTTCCTACGTCATACATCCAGTGTCTCTTTGAAAGCTTTGTGAACGTTGGATATTAATTCTTTACTTGATTGATCCAATTGTTCTTCAAAATCCATATTCGTTGATGTAGATTGTGTTACTAAATAAATTCGAAGAAAATTCCGTTAGACCTCAGCATCAATTTTGAATTTTTATCTTATTTTAAAATTAATCTTACATTCACTTTCAGAACTACTTGATTCACTCATTGTTCTTTTCCTACTCGATGTTTTATTTCTTGATGACGATGATGTTGAATGAACCATTTGATGAAGCACTGTTGCATTTGGTATTTGACCATTTCTTTGAAGCATCATACCTATACGGAAAAACAAATAATGTGAATTTCTTAATATCAATTTCAATAGATTAACTTACGCATATGATGTTTAAATAAATTACTTTGACGTCCGATTCGGCTTCCTAATAAGAATTTTCACTAGTGACAATAAAATAGACCTTTTTTCGTATATCTACCTTCGACAGACATGCCCACTTTAATACATCGTTGAAATCGACAATAACGACAAGCATTTCTTGTTGTAACATTAATTTCACATGTTCCATTATCCATACATTTATAACGACTGGGTGCTCGTTCTTTAATACTTCTTCGAAAAAAACCCTAAGAAATCATCCGAATGAAACTCTTATTTTTCTTTTCTATTTTTTCAAATTTCAACTTACTTTACATCCTTCGCAAGTAATAGCACCTACATAGATTTATTAAAAAAATAACAAAATAAATAAAAGAACTGTACAGTGAATTCAATTCAATTCATCATACCAAAATGAATACCACTTGATGGTGCTTGACAAACATAGCAGGAAATTTGAGCAAATATATCAGCTACTCGTGGTGTTTGTTGTATTTCTGCACCTTCTTTAAGTCGAGAAAATAATATAAGAATGTTACTATTGAATAACATCAAACCTTTAACTGTCATTCCAATAATTTTACATTTTTGAAATCGACAATATTGACATTGCGTTCGAGTATTTCTTGTTATAATACAATCTTTATTTCTAACACATTTATATTTCTGATCTTCACCATTAATGGATCGTAAAAAAAATTTCTAAATCAACAATGAAAATAATTTATGCATCTCTTCATATATCTACTCTTACTTTGCATGCTTCACAAGTAATTGCGCCACAATGAAGACCAGACGATTGTTCGCCACATACTTGACATGGTTCAAATCGAGCTTCAAGTAATATTGATAATGGATCTGTTAATTCTGATCGAGATTCATGTGCTATATCAGTATAACTATAAGAAACATGACTTTTTTTTCTATTGAACCTATATGCACAACTATGGCATTGTTGAACTTAATATTGGACACAATACAATAGTTGATGTCCAATATCAAGGTCATATCTTCTTTTGTCTTTAGTATAATAAGAAAAGTTTGGTTTGGTTCGGTTTTTATTTAGGATTGTTATAAACTTCCCAGGAAATATTCTTAGTAGTAAAAGTTTACCTGCAAATCATCTTTGACCGTATGTCATCCATTGCAAACATCGTGAAGTTTTGTGTATTGTTGATGATATTTGATATTTTCTTCTTTGATGCAAAAAAATGTTATAAGAAGAAGCAATCGGGAGAGAGAGAAAGAGAGAGACACACACCAGAAGGAGAAGAAGAAAAATGTGTCTTTGATTTTTTATTTGCGATCTATCGACATCCAATGACCAATCATATGAATTGACGTCTTTTTTTCTTCTTCTCTCTCTCTCTCTCTCTTTCTTTACATATAAAAGTAATTTTAATGTACAAAAATATTACTCACTAAATGAGAGAAGAAGAAGAAAAAAAAATTATTTCCGTGTCGATAAGAAAACTTAGAATTTGTCTCCGAGCTTTTTCTTTATCAATTTAAATCATACAATTTGTCGCACTATTATAATCATGTGTAAATTTGTCTCTTGTATAGTATAATAGTGCTAATAGCTAGATAGAGTGAATACTACTTGGCGACCGAGTTTTGATTTATTCGTCTAATTCTCTGTTTTCATATATTCTTCACGATCATATGGATATAGAGGTAATTCCATCGCATCACGCACACACTTTCTTCTTTATTTCGCTTGTCTTCTCTTATCCTCCCTCCCGTCTATTTGATACTATACACAAGCTGCACTAGATACCAGACACAATATTTTATTGAATGTGCGTATGAATGGATGTGAAAACGCCGAAAGAAAAAATGTCGAAAATGCGATATTGAAAAATAAATGTCGAAGAAATGGATAGTGATGAATTTGATCAGAAAGGTAAAACTTTTCTTGTATTTTATTCAAAAAGTGAAAGACGAGTGTATTGGGGATTCAAATTAACTATAAAAAAAGGGGTTTGGGCGTGGGCGTTGATGCTTGTGAATAGTAGTGTACCACTCACGCCCCGTTGCAATTCTTTGTTTTACAGATACAATATATCTTCGAAGATGTTTGCTCATTGAATTTGTAAATAAAACCGTTCCGAATCAATTGTCGACAACCTTTCTTGGAATCAAGAAAAGATATAGAACTTGTATTAGTAGGCATTGTACAGTCGAAAGAATTAAGTGATGAATGTGCAAAAATGTGTACTGCAATCAGGGTTGCCCCGACGGCGGGGGGGGGGGGGGGGAACCCCCCCCCATTGGGGGAAA